CTGCTGCTGGCCTTCAGGGCATCTAGTGCCTGGGGTGTTGCTGGCACTGTGTCTTGGAAGGAAGTGAAGCAAAAGCATTGGGACAAGGGGAATTATAATGTTCTCAAGAGTGTTGGGCTATAGGGCATCTGGGTCCTCCTGTGGAGGCCCCCAGGCTGGGGGCAAGCTGGGAGTCCCTGCCAAGCCTCTCTTCCTCTAGTCACTGGAGTCTCTTTGCATTCTGACATTTACAACCCAGCCTGCATGCTCAGGTTACGGGGTGGGGCTTGCCAGAACCCACACCCTGGGTCTTGTGGGCAGGAATTCCAGAGGTGCTGCCCCTGGTGGGACTGGGCAGCAAGCAGTAGATGGAGCCTCCCCAGAACCTTGGCATCACCAAGCCAGCTCCCTGGCTGGGGACACAGTACTGGGCAACACACTTCCACGTGCAAACCTCAGGCACTCATTTGTAAAATGGAGATCATGCTCATAGAGCGTGGGGTTGCCTTGACTGTGGAGCCAGGTGGATTCAGGAAGCAGCAGCCTCCTGGGGTGTTGCAGGGGGTGATGTGAATGCAGGAGAGAAGTCAATAAAATGAAAATTCTACGGATGGAAGCAATTGTTTTTGCTGTTTATGTATGTGCGTGTGTTTCCTTGGTAGGAAGTGGCAGTGGTGATTTTTTTTTTCTTTTTTTGTCCCTTGACATGAGCCATAAAGTCCTTAAAAAGCCTCATAGAGCTGAGTTTGGTGAACTGGAGGGAGCCGGGCCCCAGACACTTTAAACACAGCTTCAAGAAACTCCCTTCCCTTTTTGAGGATTCAGTTTCCCCACCTATGTGTAAGGAAGTTGAACCTCCTGCTCTGGCCTGCTCTCTGCCAGCTGTTTAACCTTCCTCCCCTCTATGCCACACATATAGACAGAGTGGTTCTGGGGATGCTGAAAGACATGGGATGTCATGCAGCACAGTGTATTTAAATCTGCCTGATACGGTTTTAAGATAAAACGGGCTAGATTCAGGACCAGAACAGGCCAGATGCCTTCCAGTGGTGGGAGGGAATCCAGAACTGACCTGTTATGTTAGGCCATTCTTTCACTGCTATAAAGAAATACCTGAAACTGGGAAATTTATTAAGAAGAGAGGTTTAATTGGCTCATGGTTCTGTAGGCTGTACAAGCCTGGAGCCAGCATCTGCTTAGCTTCTGGGGAGGCCTCAGGGAGTTTTTACTCATGGTACAAGTCAAAGCGGGAGCAGGAGCATCACATGGCAAAAGCAGGAGCAAAAGAGAGAGCGTGGGAGTGGGGAGGGAGGTGCCACACACTTTTAGATGACCAGACCTCACGAGAACTCACTCATTGTCTTAAAGACAACACCAAGCCATGAGGGATCTGCCCTCATGACCCAACTATCTCCCACTAGGCCCCACCTTCAGCACTGGGATTACAATTCAATATGAGATTTGGGTGGGGACAAATATTCAAACTCTAACATTCCACCCTGGCCTCTCCCAAATACCATGTTCTTCTCACATTACAAAATACAATTATGCCTTCCCAATAGTTCCCCAAAGTCTTAACTCATTCCAGCATTAACTCAAAAGTTCAAAGTCCAAAGTCTCATCTAAGACAAGGCAAGTCACTTCCACCTATGAGCCTGTAAAATAAAAAAAATAAGTTATTTACTTCCAAGATGCAATGAGAGTATAGGCATTGGGTAAACATTCCCATTCCAAAAGGTAACAATTGACCTAAAAAAAAAAAAAAAAAAAGGGACTGCAGGTCCCACACAAGCTTAAAACCCAGCAGGGGAGTAATTAAATCTTAAAGCTCCAAAATAATCTCCTTTGACTCTATGTCCCACATCCAGGTCACACTGGTGCAAAGGATGGGCTCCCAAGGCCTTGGGCAGCTCTGCCCCTGTAGCTTCACAGGGTACAGCCCCTGAGGTTGCTCTCAAAAGCTGGAGTTGAGTTTCTGAAGCTTTCCCAGGCATAAGATGCAAGCTGCTGGTGGATCCATCATTCTCAGATCTGAAGGACAGTGTCCCTCTTCCCTCTGCTCTACTAGGCAGTGCTCCAGTGGTAACTCTGTGTGGGGCCTCCAACCCCACATTTCCCCTCTGCACTGCCTTAGTAGAGGTTCTCTGTGAGGGCTCGGCCCCTGCAGCAGGTGTCTACCTGGATACCTAGGCTTTTTCATACATCCCGTGAAACTAGGCAGAGGCTGCCCAGAATCCACCACTCTTGCATTCTGTGCACCTGCAAGCTTAACACCACATGGAAGCCACCAAGGTTTAAGGCTTACGTTCTCCAAAGAGGCAGACTGAGCTGTACTTGGGCGTGTCTGAGCCACTGCTGAAGCTAGAGTGGCCAGGATGTGGGAGTAGTGTCCCAAGGCTGTGCAGGGCAGCAGGTTCCTCTGCCTGGCCCAGGAAACCATTCTTTCCTCCTAAGCCTGTAGGCCTGTGATGGGAGGGGCTGCCACAAAGATTCCTGAAATGCTTTCAAGGCCTTTTCCTCATTGTCTTGGATATCAGTACTTGGCTCCCTTTTAGTTATGCAAATATCTTTAGCAAGTGGTTGTTCCACAGCCTGCTTGGATTCCTCTCCTAACAAAGCTTTTTTCTTTCTTTGTCACATAGCCAGGCTACGCATTTTCCACTTTACACTCTGCTTTCTATTTAAATATAAATTCAAACTTTAAGCCATTTATTTGCTCCCACATGTGAGTTAGGTTGTTAGAAGCAGCCATGCCACTTCTGAAACACTTTGCTGCTTAGAAATTTCTTCTGCCAAACACTCTAAATCATCACTGTGAAGTTCATTCAAACATCCATAGATCCTAGGGCATGAACACATGGCAGCCAAGTTCTTTGTTAATGCATAACAAGGATGACCCTAACTCCGTTCTCAATAAGTTCCGCATTTCCATCTGAGACCTCTTCAGCCTGGCCTTCACTGTCCATGTCACCATCAACATTTTGGTCACAACCATTTAACCAGTCTCTAAAAAGTTCCAAACTTTTCATCTTCTTGTCATTTTCTGAGCCTTCCAAACTCTTCCAGCCTCTACCTGTGACCAAGTTCCAAAGTTGCTTCCACATTTTCAGGTATCTTTTAGCAATGCCCTACTCTCAGTACCAATTTTCTATGTTAGGCTATTCTTTCATTGCTGTGAAGAAATACCTGAGTCTGGATAATTTTATAAAGAGAAAAGGTTTAATTGGCTTAGGGTTCTGCTGGCTGTACAAGCATGACACCAGCATCTGTTTAGCTTCTGGGGAGGCCTCATGGAGCTTTTACTTATGGTGGAAATGAACTGGGAGCAGGCACATCACATGGTCAGAACAGGATCGAGAGAGAGAATGTTGGGAAGAGGTGCCACATACGTTTAAATGATCAGATCTTGCAAGAACTCACGCACTATCTCAAAGACAGCATCAAACCATGAGGGATCAGCCCCCATGACAAAAACACCTTCCATCGGGCCCACCTCCAGCACTGAGTATTACAATAATTCAACATGAGACTTGGGTGGGGACAAGTAACCAAACTATATCACCTGTCTTGGAATATTTCTGGATGGTGGCATGGAGGGAGGAGGGAGGTGAGGCCTGGTGGCAGGGCAGTAGTCACCTTCTGAGAACTGGCCTGAGCCAGTGGATTGAGGTAGGCCAATAGAAACCATCCTCCATGGTCACACCCATCACCCCTCCCATGCTCAGGACTGGATAATGGAGTCAGGGACCATACGCTGGCCCTGGACGGACCCCAAGAGACACAAAGACCAACTCCATCCTTTAACAGAGTCAGCCTTCGATGCCAGAGCTTGGAAGAGAACTGATCAAGTCAGAGGCAGAGCCAAAAGGCTGTGCCTGGTGGGCTCATAATCATGGTCTGCTGGACAAATAGGTTATATTGGCTTCAAATGCCAAGGTAAAGTTTCAAAATTCTGGGGCTTAAAACAGGCAAGACAGGCCAGGCACAGGGTCTCATGTCAGTATTCACAGCACTTTGGGAGGCTGGGGCAAGAAGATCCCTTGAGCCCAGGAGTTTGAGACAGCCTGGGCAACATAGTGAGACCGTTATCTCTGTAAGAAAAAAAAGTTACAAATCGGCCAGCTGTGGTGGTATGCACCTGTACTCCCAGCTACTTGGGAGGCTGAGGCTGGAGGATAGCTTGGGCCTCGGAGTTCAAGTTTATAGTGAGCCATGATCATGCCACCAGTCTGGGTGACAGAGTGAGACTCTGTCTCTTAAAAAAAAAAAGAAGAAGAAGAAGAAAGAAAGAAGAAAAAGAAGGAAGGAGAGAAAGAAAGATAGAAAGAGAGAAAGGAAGGAAGGAAGGAAGGAAGAAAAAAGAAAGAAAGAAAGAAAGAAAGAAAGAAAGAAAGAAAGAAAGAAAGAAAGAAAGAAAGAAAGAAAGAAGGAAGAAAGGAAGGGCGAGCAAGCGAGCCTAATCTATATGAGAAGTCTGGATCGTGGGCACTTTGCTGGAGTGATTCCTGGGAAGGAGCACCGGTGAGCTTGGAGGATGTTGGAAATATTCAATTTCTTGTCCTGGGTGCTCAATACAAGGCTGTGGCAGTTTGTGAAAATTCATCAAGCTATGTGGATGATATGTGTGCACTGTACCTCAATAAAAGTATTTTTAAAAAAGAACTAAAATAAGGAGAGAAGCATGTGGCTTCCACACTGTTCGGCAGCCCCGGGGCGTACGGGAGAGGGCGGTATGTTTCAAACACCCCCAGCTGTAACCATGGGAGTGGGGAGTGTCTGAGGGCTGGCCACCGGCGCATATTGGCAGAGCAAACACACGGGCCTCCGAACACACTGTCCCCGCTGTGTACACAGGGTGTTAGGCCAGGCTCCACCGAGCTGCACTTCATGGTAACAAAGACAACAATGCCGCCATCTCGTAATCGTCAATAGCATCGCTGCACTCAAGTCTTTGGTCCAATATTTGCAGAGCCAGAGGAGCCACGTCTACTTTGCGATATTGACTTAGATTTATCACTTACCAGAGAAACCTGAGTGCCCAGGCCCGCCTGCTCATTCACTGTGGCCTTTGGGAGGTGTGTGGCCTTAGGCAGAATGTGTGGGGTCATGGAAAGCCAGCCTCCTTCATTTCACGGCTGTTGTCACTATTATCTTGCCCGTGTACCCTGGAGTCAGGCTGTGGAGAGGGGTCATGAATCTCCAGACTGCTGATTAGGATTGCCCGATGTCCTCTGTAATCCAATCTGCAAGATTTGGAAAGAAGTGAGTTGGCGAAAATCAAGCATGGAGTTCATCTTTCTGAATGGAAGTTTTCAGGAAATGGCGATTATAAAGCGTTTCTTTACAAAGAAAAGCTTTCTTTTTCATAAGGAAAGGACATTTCTTCTTCATAAATGGGCTAAACCCTATGAATGCCTATGCTGGCTTCCAGCTCAGGCTTTCACTTCTCCCAATAATTTCTGAGTGAGACACTGTACCATGGACAAATACAAGAGACTGCTTTCCAGAAACTCATGTTGCCCAGGGAGGCGGCTCCCGCTTTGTGAGCTCCAGGGCCCCAGTGGCCGGCCATGACCTGTGACCTCCTCGCTCTCGGCCTCGCTGTCAGCTGGAGAATGCGAGGGGCCAGCCTGCATCAGCTGGACAGGGAGGGCCTGGACACGCTGCCCGGAGGCTCTGCTGTCCACGAGGGGCTGACCCCTCACTGCAGGTGCTGTGTCCCTAGGGCAGCCCGAGTGCCCAGTCAGGGGGCAAGAGCTTAGACACCCCCGCTCGGAGAGTGCTTCTCTTTCTCCATTTTCTCAGAAGGGCTCTGATGAGACCCCCTGCCCTGCCCTGCCCTCTCTCTGCCTCCAAGGCTAGCACATTCAGGGAGGCCTCCCATAACCATTAATTTAGCCAATTTCCTGGGCCACACCGTCCCCTGGGGACCCCACTTTGGTGGGCAGCAGCGGAACAAGACTCCCTGCTGTTTCCCTTCCCTTTTAATTACACGGGGACAAGATTCCTTGGGCTGACTTTGGGAGGCAAGCCCCAGGCCAGCCTGGCTGCCCTCCACGAAACAATGCACACATGTTCCGGAGAATTCCCTCCTCGCCTAATCCGGGCTGGGAAGAAAAGGGCTTTTCTTCTTCTTGTCAAAGGGAGTCTTCGATGCTAAGATACCATTTTGTGTCTCAAGTCATGTCACGGGACTTCTGCCTCAGCCTCGCTGCCCGCTCTTTGGAAATGAAAGACACAGTCCTTGATTCACCTCAGGACAAGTGCCCCCACCCTGCCCTCCTCTGAAAATGAAAGGGGGTTGGGGGCCAAGGGAAGCGGGAAAAGCTCCCAACTCCCACTGTTTCTTTCTCATCCTGGCAACCTCGGCTTTCTGAACTATTTGCCCAAAGGATGAGTAGGGAGGGCTGAGCCTCACCTGCTGATCTCAAGGGTCATGAATATTCTTATAATCCCCTGGAAAGAAGGGCCCTTTCATTAGAGGAGCGGATTCAGTCCTTCGGTGTTCCCACCTCCTCCTGCCCACCGGCCTGGCCTCTGCTCCGCGGTCCGGCTCCACAGCCTCTGGGTCCCTGCTGACTTTTCGGCTACTCGCGTAGACTGGAAGAAGAACCGGATTTTCATACGGCACTGCTACGCTGCTTTCCCTCACTCACCCGCGTCCCTAGGTTGTAGAAGAGTTAAAAGACATAACAAGAAAAAAGCTACAGACATGCAACCTGCCGCTTGGCGTCAGTAAACGTGAGGCAACATGCTTACCGACTCACTGGTAGTTGAGTGTTTAAGTTCACACTTTAGCTCACCGGACACAAGGATCTGAGGTCACTTTTGGAAATCCCACAATAATGCAGATGAAGAAATCCAAGTTACATGAGGGAAAAAAAGGGAGCAAAATGAAATCAAGTCAAGGAAAAATTTAATACCATGAAATTAAGGACTGAATCTGCTTTTCTAATGAAAGGGTTGATCTTTCTAGGGGGTTATAAGACATATAATGTAAGGCTCCATGTGAGAGCAACGATAGCCTGATCATTTAGTTTTGGGTTTCCTAGCGGCCAAAAGAAAGGGAGGAAAATGGTCAATAGGAGGTAAGAACAAAGCATTTGCTCAGGGCAGCACAGTTCTCCCTGATGCTGGGTTCTCTCTCTCTGTCAACTGTGCGTCCTCCAACAAAAACACTGGTGTCCCGCATTAAAAATGTCATCATTAATATCCCTGCGCTAAAGGTCAGAGTTTCATTAAGCATTGCTAAAATGGGTTGAAACTGGATTCTCTGTACCTTCTTAAGAAAAATACCGACCTGTATGACAGCCCACGTTTTCTTCAGAATCCGTAAGTGCAGCTTATTGAGTTGGTGCCACACAGGTAACACCCTTAGAGGCCTCTCCTGAGCAGACATGAATGCACAGGGCTTGGACTGTGAACTGGACTGTTCACTCTTCCAGGCCCAAGCCCACAGCACCAGCACCAGCAAAGCAGTTGGAGCCGCGGTGGCTCCACAGAGCAGAGCTGGGCCCTGACTGGAAGCAGGGCACTGAAATGTCTGCTAACCCTTTGCTTAGCAGAAAGAGTGGAGGAAAAACCTCTGGAGAATAAATTGTACTTGTGTCAGCGTAGGTGAGCAGACACTGCAGGAGAGGGGCAAGATTCCATCAATATTTCTTTTTCTTTTTTTTTTTTTTTTTGAGATGGAATCTTACTTTGTCGGCCAGGCTGGAGTGCAGTGGTACGATCTCAGCTCACTGCAACCTCCATCTCCCTGGTTCAAGTGATTCTCCTGCCTCAGCCTCCTGAGTAGCTGAAATTACAGGCACCTGCCAAACCACGCCCGGCTAATTTTTGTAGTTTTAGTAGAAATGGGGTTTCACCATGTTGGACCTTGGCTTCCCAAAGTGCTGGGATTACAGGCATAAGCCACTGTGTCCAGCCAATTACATCAATATTTCTGATGCCATTCTTGTTTTTGGTTTGGAAATAATTATTGATAGATCTGAATGTAAACCAACATCGTCCGTAATAATAGCGAATAGTTTTGGACACTCACCATGTGCTAGACACTTTGAAAATGCTTTAAATATATTATCTAATTTTAACCCCAAAGCCCCTGAGATGGAAAACACACACACACACACACACACACACACACACACACATTGTGTGAAATGAGGAAATGAAGGCTTAGAGAAGAATTTGATATCACACAGCTTAAAACAGCAGAGCCAGGATTTTAACCCAGTACTGAGACCTGCAGGGCCCAGGGTCTTCACGAGCATACCATCCTGAGAAGAAAATCATACTACAAATCAGGAGGCCTGGAAGTCTTTGGTTCAGAAATCCAAACAAACTAGCTTTGTAAACTGTAACAAACTAGCTTTGCTATGTTCTTCTTCAGGGATTCATTTTTGCCATGTTTTTGAACAGGGATTGGGTCTTCAAAATCCTGTATAGCCCCAACATTCAAATAAGCTTATTTATTCATTAGATCACAATGTATTGTGCCAGGCACTGTGCTATGGGAAATCAGGTGCAGTCAGTCTCTGATTTCTTAGAATCTACAATCTAAATGGGAAGATGGACACTGTGTAAGTAACTGGGAATGTCACATGCATGAAGAGGGCCAAGTTTAGGGTGCTACAGGAGAATATAAAAGACTTAAATTAGTCTGAGTTGGGAGCTAGGTCAGGGAAGGGCTCCCAGAGGAGGTGATATTTAAGGAGAGCCCTAAGGATAAGTAGCAGTAGGGCCAGGCAAATGGGAGTTCGGGGTTGAGAAGAGGAGGCACAAAAGCCCAAGGTAGCATAAAGTGTATTTATAGACCCGAAAGCTGAAGTGCCTGAAGCACAGGGAAAAAGGAGGCTGGAGAAGGCAGGGGCAGATCTCACTGGGCCCTCAAAAGCCTTGATGACTCTGAACATTATCAGGACAGTGCCAATCCATACTATGGCTTTAAGCAGAAAAATAACAATCATCTAGGATCTGGCTATAGTACAGAGGCTAGGCCGGAGGGAAGCAAGACAGCAAATGAGTTAGGAGGCCCTGCAGATCATGACTAGGGCCAAGATGGTGACAGTGCAGATGGAAAGGCATGGATGGATTTGAGATGTTTGCATGTCTAGTTAATAGGCCATGGTGGAGATTTGATGTGGACATGGGGTTGGGGGAAGAGTCAAGGATGACTCCTAGTTTTTGACTTGAGCAAAAAGGTAAATGATGTAAATGATATTCCCATTTAGTGAAACAGAGCAGTGTGAAGTGAGTACAGGTGGGCAAGAATGACCATGAGTTTAGCTACGAGGTATCTTTGAAAAGTGCAAGTGATAATGTTGAATAGGCATCAGGAAGCACTGGCAATTAAATGAGAGTTGAGGCTATGGGAGTGGATAAAATCTAGGAAGAGAATATAGGTTGGGAGAGGGCCAGAACAGAGCCCTGAGGAGGAAGAACAGCCAGGAAGGTAGGAGAAAAATCAGAAGTGTGTGCTGTAATGGAAGCCAAAAGAAGCAAGTACTTCAAAGATGAAGTGGTCAACGTTACAGAATACAGTAATGGGCGAAGTCAGGTTTGGCCTGAAAACTAGCCGATGAATGTAATGATGTGGACACCACCATATCCTTAGGGATAACAGGTCTGGTGGAGTGGTACAGCTGATTTGAACATGCAACCAATACACCAGGGATCACTGCCATTTCCTGGCCTCGCTTCTGGCACTTGCCATTGATATAAAATGTATCCCAATTTCAGGTAAAGAAGCCAACAGGTAATTTTCGTGGACAGTGCAGAGCTTCAGATATTTTAATCAAAGGGTCTGATCCGATAGCTAAGCCTCGTAGTACAAAGCAGTGATTGTCAAATGTTTAATTTCTTGAGAATGATTGAGTACCCCAAGAGTTTTTGTTTGTGTAGGTTATGTCTGTTGATATTTATTATATTAGAAATTAGAACTGGCTGGGTACAGTGGCTCACGCCTGTAACCCCAGCACTTTGGGAGGCAGAGGTGGGTGCATCATTTGAGATCAGGAGTTCAGGAACAGCCTGGCCAACATGGTGAAACCCCATCTCTACTAAAAATACAAAAATTAGCCGGGTGTGGTGGTGCGTACCTGTAGTTTCAGCTACTGGGGAGGCTGAGGCAGGAGAATCACTTGAACCTGGGAGGTGGAGATTGCAGTGAGCCAAGATTGCGCCATTGTACTCCAGCCTTGGTGACAAGAGTGAAACTCTGTCTCAATTTAAAAAAAAAAAAAAAAAAAGAGAAAGAAAAAGAAAAAAGAAATTAAAACTGAGAAATATTACTCAATTTATTTTAAAAACAAAAATTACATGTTAACATAAATAACATTTCTGATGAAAAACAAATATAGCAACAAGAGTAGTACCATCTTTCATTTTTGCAATTCTTTTTAATGTCTGGCTTGATAGCAGATAACTGGATTATCTTACCTGCTTCTGCATTCAATCTACTGCGATACGCCGTTTTGGTTGACGTGGATGTGGAAAACCTGGCCTCACACAGTTATGGAATTGAAAAAGGGAAGAATGTAAGAGCCATCAGGTTCTTGTGAGTCTTCTTTGATACTGCACCGACACTTAACAAAGGTTAGTTGTAATGTGGCATCTGAAACCGTATCAATGAACTTCTCATATTCTGTGAGCTAAACTCCTTTGGCCCAGCTCCCATTTTGTAGGCATCTTTGCCCAAGTCTGATTTGTTAGCACAACGCATTAACCATTTGAGACATACTAGTTCCCGGGGTTATGCAGCTCTTCCAACTGTTGACACTTTGCACTTTACAATACCCAAAAATCACATCCATTAATATCATTATCTCATCAGAAATACTTACACTGAAAAGCTGTCAAGCTCAATGACAGATACAAGTTTTTCAAAATGTTCATTCTTGCTTAAATGTGTAATTTGTATCATTGGCAATAAATACACAAAAGTGATTTTCCTCAAAGTGGCTGGCTCACTCTGCTTAGTTTGAGTAAATGGCTGCTGGATGACCAAGCCTGACTCATGTAGTTTGTCAGTCATTCTTTTAAGCAAAATGGTGTTCCTTGAAAAAAAAGTGGTCATTTATATCACACATTAAACAATCATACAAGTACTTTTTCTCAAGATCACCATTATCCATTATATGCACATGTTTTCTGTGTACCAGACTTTTGTGTTTCTTTTGGAAAAAAGTAGAGTGCATGGCAGTGAAGATGCCATAGTGCCTGTTAGGACTGGTGGTGCCACTGTCTTGATTCACACCAAGGCTCCAGTGCGGTGTGCTGTGGTTTTTCTACAACCAGTGAATGTCAACACAGTGAAAAGGGCAAATATTAGTATTATTATCAAAATCATGGTGACCTTGTGGACCACGGGAATGATCCTGAGGACCCCCAAGGACCCAAAGACCACCCTCTACCAACTGCTGGTACAGAGTAAGCACTGGCATTTCAGAAGGCAATCTAGTCATGGAGAAACTCTCCAGATGCCAAAAAACGCAAAGATTTTCCCCTGAAAGTGTTTTATATCTTCAGTAAAGCTCTGTAATAAGTACTTCAAAGTTTAGTGCCAGAACCAAACTATTTAATTAAATGTTTAAAATAATAGGATAATCAGTTCGATTTATTCCATCACAATGAATATCTTATTTACCTTGTGGACATATTTTAAAGATTAAATGAGACAATAAAGCTCTATGCCAATTAAGGGCAGTTTTATTTACATAAGGCAGTTTTATATAAAACAGAATTAAAGCTTTCACAAACGTTAGCATTAGAAGAATGTAGAATGAACATCCAACCAAACCCTCTTATTTTATCAATGGAGAAATAAAGCTACCTGGAGACAGATTTTAATCAAATGATCATGTTCCTATTTTAGATATTTCATTCTGGCAGGAGTGTGGGGGATGAACAGGAGATGAAAATGAAGGCCATGGCAACAACGAAGGTGAGACATGGGAGCCACCTGATCTGTGAAGACAGGATGGGAAAGAGTGGAGGGGCACAAACATATTAAACTGGTGGGCTGCGCGCAGTGGCTTATGCTTGTAATCCCAGAGCTTTGGGAGGCGGAGGCGGGCGGATCGCCTGAGATCAGGAGTTTGAGACCAGCCTGGACAACATGGTGAAACCCCGTCCCTACTAAAAATACAAAAATAAAAAAAAATAAATAAAAAAAATAAATAAAAATAAATAAAAAAATTAGCTGGGCATAGTGGTGCACACCTGTAGTCCCAGCTACTCTGGAGACTAAGGCAGGAGAATCACTTGAACCTGGGAGGCGGAGGCTGCAGTGAGCTGAGATCGTGCCACTGCACTCCAGCCTGGGCAGCCGAGTGGGACTCAAAGTGGTGATTGGATTTGTTGGTTTACTGGGGAGAGCGTCGCAGGTTTTCGTCTTGTGCAGCTAGGTATATCACAGTGCCTGTCACAAAAACAGTGGAATCTGGAGAAGAGACAGGTTTACTGGAGAAAGAATTGGTTGCATTTTGGATAGGTTAAGTGTGAAGTGTCTGTGGGACGTGCAGGTATAGTTGGAGATATGGGCTTGTGAAGCATGGAGAGAGGAGCAGGATGGAGCTCGAGTTGAGAGCGGGAGCAGATACAGCAGGGAGAGCTGATCAGCCAGGGAGAATTAGGGTCGAGAAAC